ATCTGAGCAAGAGGGATATTGCCTCGGGTACGTCGTCAACTACAGCGGGGGTCTTCGGGGTGGTTGCACGGCGTTACGACGGGTTTCACGGAATCAACGGCTAAAATTTCAACTTAAGAGTGTTATTGTGACGTGTGATATTCAAACGAATATAACAAGGTGTAGATAAGGAGCCCAAGTGAAAGGAATATACCGTGTGATAGACAACACGAATGGCTACGCACCGGCAAAGACGATGGCGAAAACGGAGACCAGAGGTGGCCGAAAGCGCGTGCAAAGTCGGCACGAATCTGTCAGAATCCACGAACTGCTTCTGTCGAGCGATGTTTCAGACGTTACAGAGAGAGATATAGAGTGAGTTAGAGCGTGATACAAATTAGAGGTGATAGGTAACATGTAGGGCTACTCACCAGAGAAAAAATCGATAAAAACGGAGGTCGGAGGTGATCGGAAAGTGCACGCGAAGTTGGCACAAAGCTGCAGTTTTCTGCAGTGCAGATTTTCGTCGTTCGGTCGCTGTTCAGGCTCGTTCCTCGCTGCTCAGAGCTTCTCCTCGTTGTTCGGACTTGTCGGAGGTGGGAGGAGGTTTCCGGGGTGTCTCGGTGGGCTCCGACAGGGTTGCTCGGTCAAGGAGGGGAGAGAGGAAACGGAGGTGATGGTGGTGGCGTCGGGTGTAAGAGGAGAGGCGGAGGGAACTGCAGCGGGTGGAGGAGCTCGTGGAGCTGATGGTGGTGTGGGGGAGTTGCTGGAGCTTGAGGCGGAGCTATGGAGAAGGGGGACGGCGTGGGGGTGTGGTCGAGTGGGGTTTGGCGAAGACGACGGTGCGGTGTGCTAAGCTCGATGATGCTCGGTGATGGTGGCGTCGGAGGAGCTCAGAGTTGAGGATGGTGATGGTGGTGGAAACTGAGGGAGGAGGAGTTGATGACGGCTGGTGGTGTTGGTTGGAGGACGGAGAGGAGGATGAGGAGGTAGTGGCTGGTGGAGCTCGGCCGACGGTGGAGTTGACGGGGGTTGAGTGGAGCTCGGTCGGCGGTGGAGTTGACAAGGGTTGAAGGAGGAGCTCGGGTTCTTTGGATGGAGGAGAGAACGAGTGAGAGAGAGAAAAGATGGGTTGGCTTTGAGGGAGGAGAGAGAGATGAAGATGAGAGAGGGAGAGAGAGAGCTGGAGTGAGTACGAGAGGAGAGAATGAGATGGGAGTGAGAGAGATAAAGAGAGATGATTGGAGAGAGAGAGAGTGTGTGAGACAAGAAGAGAGACAGCGGTCGGTGGAAGAGCAGCGCCCTCGTGGGTGGCTTGAGTAGTCTGCCCGTGTTTGTCAAAAGAAGTGGGCGGTTTGGGGTTGGTGGAAGAGAAAAAATGAGATGAAGAGAGGAGCAGGGTTTCTTGATGAGTGGGTTTGAAGAGAGAGAGAAAGTACGAGTGTGAGGAGGGAGAGAACGTGACGATGGAGGGATTGTTGCTGGGAATTTGATGGGAAGTAACAAGCTTTGGATTATTTTCAAATGGGTTCACAAAAATTCAAGCTCTTGCATATAACTACCCTACTCATTTACAACTACAACATTTATTATGATATGTATATCTATTATTACATATATACTCTGTGTATTACATCATAATAAAAATAAATATTATTGTATATTATGTTTTGCATAGTAAATATTAATAACAATAATGAATAATCAATTATTAATTTAAAAGTCTTTACCGTAACGATTAAATTTATAAATTACAAATTTGTTAAATAAATATAAAACCGTATTATTAAATCATAGCAAATTTTAGAAAATCTGGTAAAATAATAATTTAATATTTAAAGTACCAGAAAATTTATTTAAACCAATATCGAAAATTCAAGGTCCTTACAAGTGGGCTTCGAGGAACGAGGTAAGGAGGGCCTCGTGTGTCGCCTGCTCAAGAGCTTGTATGGCCTGAAGCAAGCTCCGCGATAGTGGTACATAAAGTTTGAGAACTGTATGGAGGAGAACGGTTTTCTCAAATGCGACACAGACCATTGCTGCTTCATCAAAAGATACGACGAATCCTATGTGATACTCTTGATTTATGTTGATGACATGTTGATTGCAGGGCCCAACTTGGCCCGTATTGAGGAACTCAAGGGGCGTCTCTCCGAGTGCTTCGAGATGAAGGATCTGGGTCCAACAAATCAGATTTTGGGAATGAGGATCATCAGAGACAGATCAGCACGGAGGCTGAGATTGTCTCAGAAGGCCCACATTGAGAAGATTCTTGAAAAGTTCGACATGAAGAAAGCTAAACCAGTGGACTCGCCATTTGCGAGTCATTTCAAGCTATCAAAGACCCAAGCACCAAAGACTGCTGAAGAGCATGAGTTCATGGCAAACATGCTATATGCATTTGCCATCGGGAGTTTGATGTATGTGATGGTGTGTACGAGGCCAGATATTACACAAGGAGTGGGAATTGTGAGCCGCTTCATGAGCAATCCAGGGAAGCAACACTGAGGTGCGGTCAAGTGGCTTCTACGCTACTTGAGATGCTCGTCCGACCATTGTCTTGAGTATGACAGGACAGATTTGCAGCTAGAGGGCTTTTGTGATGCAGACTACGCAGGGGACATAGACTCAAGAAGAAGCACGAGCGGCTACATCTTCATCTTGGGTAATGGAGCGATAAGTTGGAGATCCAAGTTACAGGATATTGTGGCTTTGTCAACAACCGAAGCCGAGTACGTATCTGCAGCAGAGGCAGCAAAGGAGTTGCTATGGTTGAAGGTTTTTCTTCTCGAGCTTGGAGTAAGCTTTGAGAAATACTTCATCCACTGCGACAATCAGAGTGTCATTCACTTGTCAGAGAACGACGTATTCCATGCTCGGACCAAGCATGTTGACGTGAAGCACCATGCCATACGGAAATGGCAAAGCATGAACGAGTTCAAACATATGAAGATTGATACGAGGTACAATCCAGCCGATATGCTAACCAAGCCAGTTCCGCTCGAGAATGTGAGGCTGTGTGCAGCCTCATATGGCCTCCGTTGAGAATGTTGAAGGCCGTGCAAGACGTCAAAGATACAAGATATCCGGATGATGCAATTAAGAGTTGTGTGAAGATATGATTGATACTCAATCAAATCTTCAAGTGAGAGATTGTTAATCAGCCACCCTTTTTGACCCCAACAGCCTTTTTTGACGTTTGAGAAATCGGTGGCTGATTTCTTTGAAATGAGAAAAAGGATGTGGGTCCCATAATTATTTATTATTAGTGGTGGGTCCCATTAATAATATTTTATTTGTGCATAATATTTCCCAAACACTATAAATAGGGCCCTAAACTCTTAAGGAAAACTCATCCCAGAAACAACTCCTCTCATAGAAGAGTAAGAGAGAAAACAGAGAGAGAGATTGTGAGAGTTCTTGGAGTGTATCTGATCAAGAGAGGGTGTTCTGTTTGATCTATTCTTTTGGGATATAAAAGAATTTGGCGTCGTCGTTGCACCGTGGAGTAGCTCCGAAGGAGTGAGCCACGTATATCTGTGAATACTGTGTTGAATATTGTGCCTTTATTTTATGTATTACGTCTCCGTAAGAGGTGTTATTATCGGGGTGTACCCTAACACCATGAAGACTTATCTAATAAGCGACCTTATTAGGTAGCATTCAATAAACATGGGGGAAAAAATATACAGCAAATCATGACTATCAGTGAAGTTTAAAATGATTATCCCCTTTGAAAATAAGTACCACGGCACGACTATGTTAATAATCTGCAGTTTCAACTGGAACCCAGGTAATGCATTTGCATTGTTTTGTTTAGTACACACAAAATATGATTGCAAGTCACAAAACATGAATGAAGCAAGTACCTTGCTAGGCAAAGTTGAGAGTTCATAGGAGGAGTTGTGTGAAGGCAATCACAGTTCTAGATATGTTGGTGATCATTTGTTTGAAATTTAAGAGATGTCTGCTTAGTAATTTTTGAGCCATAACAAAGTCAAGTTTAACGAGGGTATAGATGAAGATTAAAAGTAAGATTGATGCCAAGAGATGAATTTTATCTCTAGAACTATTTCACATAGACATCCCAAGTAGTTCAGAATGAGAAAGTCATAGGCTCATCTGATGGACTGACTGTGCATCACATGCCTTCTTTACTTTCTTGTGAACAAGAGAGGAGGGTATGAGTTAACTGGTCTAGGACCTCTGTTACTGAAATTTTCACTTGTACAGATCCAGATCTCGAAAGTTGACGACCCACATAAGCAGCAAATAGTAACTCTGAATGGAATGACAGTAAATGTGTTACCAACACACATGAAAAAGAATTGATCAATGAAATACAGAATCATGTTATTTGATGCGTCTATTTATGCATTTATGTACACGATGTACACAGATGCATATACTTATGCAGTTATGCATATGCATATATGTATCCCATACTTATATGTACACATGCATATGCGTATCCTATACGTATATGTATTATATGTACCTATATGCATATATGGTTATCGGAATATTACTTTCTCAACTTACAGCAAGTCTAACGGCCCCCATACCTTGCACGTATCAGAAGCCCATGTTAATCATGAAACAGGTGAAAGTTACAAAATCTGTTTTCAATGTAGATGTGAGACAAATGTCCTCAGGTAGCATACAATTTTTTATTGTTCAGAGTATCGTCTCAAATTTGCTATCCATGTTTCATATGAAATGATATTATTTTCATGGCAACTTGACATATTGCTCCGTCAATAACCTGTATTTGGTTGTTGGAATAAGCTAATGTCTTACTCAAGTTTGTATTGCTTAATCCTGCATCAGCTGCCACTCTGAAGTTTTCTGTTTGTAAACAGTTTATACACTTCGTCTGTGCCAATTTTGACGGTTTATTTGGTTCATGGGACCTGTTTTCCCCCCTATTGTTCATACAGTTTGGTGATATCTTATTTGATTACTTGATTAATTTTATTTGGAAAGCTGTAATTTAATTTATGCATTTTACTTTCTTTCAGATTTCTCAAGCTGATTTCGAACTGGTGAAAAATGTCCAAGAAAATTCCAAGTTGCTATCTAAAATTGTTCAGTCCCCAGACAAGTTACAGGTGCAATCTTTTTCACAGAATATCTCTTTTTCTTTCTTTTCTTTTTTTGAGAGCTTGAAAAAAATGGAATCAAATCCCAAATCTTGTGTAAAGAGGCTTTATCATTGTGCTAGAATGGCACTCGTAAATTATCTTTATTTAGCGATGCCCCAGTGCATATATTATGTTTGTACGTGTTTACTACCAAATATTTTTAAATATATGGTATTGCTTTGATATCGTCTTGTCAGATACATTATGTCATCAACTTTTCTTAATATATACATTGTTAATTGGTATTGGTTAACAAGGATGTCATAGTACTATAATGGTTTACTTGGTGATTCTTAATAGCACTGAAGAGAAAGTTTCAGTGTTACTGTATGTAAGTTGGTATTGCCTCTGCTAACGAACCATTAATAGTCAATTATAAACCTGCTTTTTTTCATGATAAAACTTCTGTTTTGTGGTTTTTCTGTTGACAAGTGCCTGAGTTTGTTGTCAAACCATTACCATTTACCAACCACTTCATCATAAACAGGATTGTCTTGCTAACTTCATGATATAACAAATTATATTTTGGCTCTTTTATGCTAACAATTTACTTTGTTTCAAGTTCTTTGAGGTTCCTAGCTACAGATGTCAAGACTCCAAATCATTCTAGTTTTTGGCATATCTAACATTGTATCTTGACAATGATAAAGTTATGATTAGCATGCTGTGGGTGGGTTTAGCCTGTCTTTCTCTACTGTCAACCTGACATTTCCCAACTCTGTAACCCAGGACAAAGATACGCCTCAGATACAAGATTTGTTTTCCACCAGGATTCAAATGCTTAATCAAGAAACTGTAAACCAGAAACTGCTTGGCAACATTTAAAGTCTGCACTAGGTTTTCTGGGCAAGCAAATTTTTTCTACTAGACAAAACCAGGGACCTGCCCTACTTGCGACCTGTTGCTTCTTGCCAGCAGAAGCAAATGCAAGTACTTACAGAGATAAAAGAAGTTTTCACCAAGCATATTTAGAAAAGTTTGGCAAATGGTCACGATACTGTTTATAGGTTTTTGTGTGTGGGCGCAATAATGCGGTAGTCAAATATCAAGGATCTTTATCTCTATATATAACCTGAGAAGTGCGCTATTGGCAGGCTTCATTCCTTCGATAAAGTAGTAGAACACTCATGTTACCTTGCCTTGCCTTCATGATTAATGACCGTCAACTCTCCAATCTCCATGTACCAACAATGCTTGCATTTGTTTCATTAGGGCTGACTACACCAAATAACATGCCCAAGTAACCTAGTGTTGCACGCGCAGGGCAGATGCCAGAATCTAATCAACATAGTTATATTATCTAGGTTACAGAAAACATTAGGAGGCCTAGAGACTAGGCGGGGGCCAATGCATTTTTCTTTTTTTCTTTTTTAATTACCAATCAATATTATTGAAAGCGCTAGTCACTTCTAGGTGCCAAACTGGGGCCTGGCGCCTAGGCTCCATGCCTAGGAGGATTTTTTTTAATGTTTAAATGGTGTTGGAGGAGGTTTTCCTGAAGGCCGGAGAAGTTCGGAGGAGATTAGGGGAAGTGAAGGCAGCAATGATGGAAATGAGGACCAAGACCTAAGCGATGTAGTCCGCATAAGTGGTCTTCGCTCCCCTAAGCACTCCTAAGACCTAAGCATGTGGCCTCAGCGGGAGCTTTTTAAAACATTGCTTTGTATGCTTTGCTAATATTCAGTTGGACCCTTGCTTGGCATGGTTGTGACTTGAGATCTTACATGTATAAACAATGTAGCTAGATAAAGTTTTGACCTCTTTATATGCCATCACCGTACACTTTGCACTGACTACTTAAACATATAATAAACTTGAGCAACTATATTAGTTTAACATCTTCGATATGAAAATATCCAAGATAAACTGTAGTAAGAGGGTGATTAGTTTATGATGAGAAAACTAGAGGAAAATTGTGATGTAGAAATCAGGGTTACAAAAAGTGCTTGGCAGCCTAGGTGTCGGACCCGGCACCTAGAGCCTAGTTACATACACGGGAGCCAGGTGGGACCTAGGTGTTTTCCTATTTTTTATCTTTTAAGTACAATCAATGTTATTGAAAGCTCTAGGCAACGCTAGGTGCCAAACGTGCGCTTGGCACGTAGGCGCTACACCTAGAAGAAATTCTTTCTTTCTTTTTTTAAGTGGTGGTGGATGAAGTTTTGCTGAAAGTCGGAGGAGTTAAAGAAATGCTCCTAGTCAGTGGAGGATGTTAGAGGAGTTCAGAAGAAGTTGGAGGATGGTGGCAGCAACAGAGGAAATCACCAGCAAGACCTTGCAGTGCAGTCCTCATAAGCGGTCTCCACTTCCTTGGACACTCTCAAGACCTAGGTGGGCAGAGTCTAGGCGGCCTAGGCTAGAGCTTTTTAAAATATTGGTGGAAGAATTTCAAACCCCCAACAAACCCACCACCACTACAGACCAGACCTTTCCCTGTAGACATACTTTTCTATCTCTTTGTTGTAGAATATTCTGAAAGAAAACCTGAAATTATGCTCTTTATGTCCTTCTGGAGGAACTTAGTACTTGGAAAACCTGTTGGATGAACTCTTATTTACCTGTTATTGTTATATCATAAACGCTGTCAAATTAACATTCTAAGCTAGTCTTGATGCGAGTATTCGTCGCGGCCATTTATCTTGTTGAATTATCTTGGACAGATAGATTTTTATCTGGACATTATAGTTGTCTGCATTGTAACTTTACTACATGCATGCTGTGGTCTAGTTTCATTAGGTCATTAATGCTCAAAATGGTTCATTATTTGTGCATTTTGTGTATTTTAAAACTGCATGATAATTGGGCTCCTGTCAATTTTGTAAATGCATTTCATTTTCATATTTCTTTTTTTAAGTGAAAGTTTGACCGCTGCTTGTTTTTGAAATTTGTGCATCATTTCTTCTTGTTGTAAAGTCGAATTAAGACCTGGACATACTGAATATTCATTTACTTTCAATTTCTTTTAACATTACTCTTTTTTTCATCTGAAGAGAACCCTTGAGGAGAAGAAGGCAAACCGAACTGAGGTTCAGAATTCTGAAAAGCTAGCTGTGCAAAATGTTCAAAAGAAAACTACCATTCTGGAGGTTTACTCAAAGGTATTACNTGCGCGCGCACGTGTGTGTGTGTGGGTGCGTGTGTGGGTGTGTGCATGTGTTCCTAACTTGATATTTCAATTCATATGGAGTGCCATATATATAGAATGGTTAAACGAAGACAGTGTGTGCTCCTAGCTCACTTGATATTTCAATTCATTTGGAGTGTCATTTATATACAATGGTTAAATGAAGGTAGCGTGTGTTCCTAATTCACTTGATATTTCAATTCATATGGAGTGCCATATATATAGTGGTTAAATGAAAGTAGTTTGCATGCGCGTATAATGGTTAAATGAAGGTAGTTTAGGTTATTGAGTATAGTTACTAACATTTTACTACTTAAATGCAACAATACTGCATGGGACAAGCTACTAACAGCAAATGGGTGGCTTACGTTATTTGAAGAAATAAAAAGATCATGTGCCCTCATAGATTTTATTGATCAGTGTATTTCCTGGGTATTAGCTTGACTAGTTGACAACAAAGATGGGCTCCATGTCATCTAAATTGATAGTTTATGGGTCTTAAGAGTCTTCATATTCTCTATACATATCGTGTAAACTTGTTCAAGGTGTAGAATGTTGTTGATGCTATTGCATTGTAAATTTACCACTTTCACAAGCTAATAGGTCGTGTTTCTTGATTCTTGCTCTAGGATCTTGAAATTTTACTATATTGTTTCCCTTTCCTTTACATGCATACATAGTTTTATTCTTTCTTAATTTCTTATTCTTTCCTCGGACATGCTTGCACATAAAATCTCCATTGGTTTGTATGTCTTACCTCGAAAACACTCTTTTTCATTTTCCCACCCTGCTACATAACCTCCAATTCATGAATCAGAGAAAAGGCTGCTTTGCGAAACCCATTCTGAAAGAAAGAAAAAGTTCCAAGCACTTCACACTGATTTTGTACTCTCTAGATACATCCACTTGTCAAGTTGCTTTCTTCATTGTTCTTTAGTAATATTCACTTCATCCTAATAGCTGTCCTCTTTTGTAGGCATATGAAAAAATGTCGAAGCATTTATTCCAGATGCAGGCCATACAGGAGCAAGTATGTCTTTTTTCAGTAACAGCTAAGATAACTGTGTATCAAATTTTATTCTGTTGCATTTATAAATGTTGGTTGCAAAAGAAACTTTTCAGCTTCTTTTCTGGCTGCTACATCTCCTTTGTTTTAATGCTTGGTGACAGCCAATAATACCAAAAGGATCTTTTCCTGCTATGTAATAAGCTATTGGTAGTGGATACAGTTTATTTGACTCAATATTTGTGCTCTTTAGTTAGCATTTAGTTTCTGAATATGACTCTTCTGTATACATGAGTAATATTATGAGATATGAAGAGTAGGCAGTACTTTTCTGTATCATACTCAAAACATTCCCATACTGAAATTTCTCTTCTTCTTGATAAAAGAGACTTATGAATTATCCTTCTGCTATCAAACTAAACATGAATGGTGTATAATATTAATCTGTCAATTATGCTTAATTATTTGGAATTCATTATCAAGGCAATACATCTTAAAAGTATGGTTTAAGAGGGGTTTTGATATAATTTCCTTGTCTAATTTTTTGCAACTTCCTTGAGTTTTTCCTCTAGAAATTAACTTGTTGCACCAGGACATACTTGGTTTATGCCCATGGACACATGCATGCATGTACTGATTTGCATGTGCCTGAAAACAGATACCAAGAGGGTGTATGTGCGCTCTCTTCCATTGGTGTGTACGTAATGACTATTTTGTAGAGTTCCATTTATGATATTTCATATAAGAAGTAAATTCTTGGGTAATTAATTGTAACTGGGGAGCTAACAAATTTGTTTTGAATGATGTGCCGTTGTATCATTTCAGAAGGTTGCTATACTTAAACTTCTTCTATTTTATTTAATTGAAGTACATAGCACGCCCAACTGTTTTCATGTTCAGTCATTATACTTGATCTCAGTCTTTGGTATAGGCTTGATAATTTCCTTGTTCAAATTTGTCAGGTCAATTCAGCCAAAGGTGTTGATAAGGATGTGAAAGCTTATAAAGCTAAATTGAGTGAGGACAAGGTCTTAACTATCTCACTCGATGCAAAGTTAGACGAATGGCAAGGAAAAGGTTATCTTGATGCTCGATTAACAGCTCTCTGTTTCAATTTGTGTCTTTGCCCCTTATTTTGTATTGATACACACATGCACACACCCAAAAAAAAAAAACCTAGAGCCCCCAGTTTCGATGCACAATTGATTGTGACCATCTTTTTCTTTATTCTTTTATTTATGTGGATAAAATTACTATAACCAGCAAAGCAAGCTGCGGAGCTGATCAAAATGATGGAGAAAGAGAGGGATACAAGATGTGAGCAGGATTCTCAGAAACTTGAAACTTTGAGGACAGAACTGGAATGGAAGTTGCAGTGTCTAGAACCTAGAGAAAAGACGGTCGAAGCTATGGTTGCAAAGGTAAAATTCTTGACGCATTCCCTGCATCCTTACAAGTTATAAGCCATGTTCTTCGTGGAGTGACTTGCATTGTTTTTCCCTGCCAGCAAATAATGATATTAAACATGGATATTGATCAGTTTTTAACAGAGAAACAAAACCCCGTTTGGCAGTTAAGAGATGTGTAAAACTTGATTGGAAAATGTTAATCAGCATATTTGGTCATAACGAACATTAGGTGAAAAAAAGTATTTAGCAAGATATGAGTTCAAAAACTAGACTTAGTTGGTGCTATTTTTCTTCGTCTTTTGAATGTATTGGTTCAGGAAATCCAATGCAGCCAAACATGTGTTCCTTCTTTATTTTCTATGGGGCTCATTCTCCTTGCTTTTTTTTTTTGGGCGTGTGGGAAAAGTTAAAAGTTTTTGGGGGTTATTTGAGACACTTGGGGGTTCTGCGGGAGTTTTCCGGGCATTTAGTTGGGAAAAACAAAGTTTGGGGGTTTTTGTGGGAAATGTCCCCCCATTTTGTGAAATTTACCCCAAGTATAATTTATCATCTGCAATCAAAATCTAATGAACTTGTTCTTTCTTGAAATAAAAGGGTGACAGTTTGTGCTCAGAAGCTGCTGCAGTTAGAGAAGCTGGGAAGGTTAAACAACAACAGCTGCGGTCCAAACTTGAAGGGATTATCAATGCGGTATGTTTCACTACACAGCTTCATTTTCTGAAACAAGATGCAAAGTTCTGATTAATGCTTTTCGCCGTGTTTTTAGTTTCATAGTTATTCTAATAAGGTTGAACGAGAACTCGGGGTAGATGCACCGAAAGAACCGTAGCTGATGGGGATTACCGAACTGATTCTTTGGGCGGTTTAGTGTTTTATATAACCTCAGCTCGCATCGACCATTTGTTGGATGATCTAATGAACTTGCGAGGATGTCAGAGGAAGAGCAACGTACCTTCAGCTGTTGTTTTATATTGATGCGCTTGATGGACGCGAGCTACACTTATTTTTCCCTTTGTCTCTGATGAGAAGCCTCGTCTTTATTTGGTCATCTGGCATCCATGATTAGAAGATGCATGAAATGTGTGTTAATATCTGAAGTTGAAACTTTGCTGTGTTTTTACTTCAATCGATTTCTAAATGTGCATCTCGTGATCTACTTTTGTTGAAACTAAAATCCAAACTTTCTAATCTGTTTTGATTAAATAAACCGGTATAGGGAAAAAAAATTTAATGTATACTCACCCGTAGAGACCAAATATGATTAGCTTGGACGGCTAGGAATGTTTTTTTAATATCTGATTTGTTTGATCTTTATGGGTTCTTCTTTAATCATATATGCATGTATTTTTAAATTGAATCGAACTGTTTCTTTGATCACGTACTCCATTTGGTATGAATATGAGCATATAAATGACCTATACCGATGACTTATAACATATGAATTATTGAAAATTAGATAATCTAGGAAGGAGCTATTTTTTCAAATAGCTTGAAACTTAAAAAATTAAAACAAGAGGGTGGATAACTTTTATTTCAAAATTTAAAATTCAGAATCAGATAGTTTAACAACTAATCTATTCTTTATAATATTCCTATTTATTTATAATATTCTAAGGTAAAAAGAGAAAAGGATAAAGTCAGCTTGCCTGAATGAGCACGTAAACAATTTTTATTCTTGAAATTAAATTGTTTAACCATCAAACTCTCATTTGTATTATCCCTTTTTTTATAATATTTTAAAAATAAAAAAGTCGACGCTCCTTGTATGATCATACACCAAAGATATATATTCGATGTAGGAACTATAGAGAGTTTGCCGGCCGGCAAAGTCATCTTATATGACGTTTTATTATTAAAAAAAACTTTTGAGATTTGGTATGAACTAAAGTGTACATCGAGTTAAACCCTATACATGAAGCAATAAGAAAAATATCATAGCCAGATGTTATATTAGCCTTTCACATATTAACATAATATAAACAATCTCATGCTTACACTTCAATGTTGTGATGCTTATATTAGAATTTCAACTTAATTATAAAAGTATATATATATATATATATATATATATATGGTTTTAAATATCCAAAAAATAATTTTAGTAGTTCAAATATTTATACTTATAATAATCTTAAGAAACCATTAGAACTTCATTCTAATTATAAGAAAAGTAGGGAGAATTCAATGTAATTTTTAAGTAATTTGTGTAAATGATTTATTTATTTTTTTGCGGATCACAGAGAATATTATGGGGTAGGGAAGTTTTTAATTTTATGTTTGCATGTTACATGTTTTTATAGCGTTTTGTGTTCTATTAATATTTTAAAGAGAGACACAGATGAACCAATAACCCTCTCTTTATAAAATCAGGAAAATCGGAAATTTTTAATCAATAAATAATAAAAATTTTGACCAATTCATAAATAATATTTTAAGAGGAAGACTAATCTATAAACTTTAAATATAATTTAACATATGCATAATTTTACATATATGATTTTAGTGTTAATTTTAGAAAAAACTCCTCAACTTTGGTGGATGCCTTAGAAAACTCCCTTCAACTAATTTAATTTGAGAATCCCTCCACCCCCTAGAAAAAGCTTGGGCGTATTATATATTACCTCAGAAAACTCCCTTCAACTATTTTTATGTTCCCTATTCAACTTTGAAATTAGAGAACCCACACACCAATCAACCCCACCTCCCACCCCCCCAAAAAAAAAAACTATGAGGTGTCTAAAAAAACCTAATGTTTAGCACCTTTTTTGCGAAAACCCCCACATAATTTCAAAATGTAAAAAAAGTTAAATACCCTTTGAAGATCAATCTATCCAGTTACAAAGATACGGCCAACTGGTAAAAAATGGATCTTGATTAGTTTATAATGTTTTCAACCTCTTTTTCCTCTCTTTCTCTTATCCTGAGAAATCAAAGTATTTTTGTGATTGAGAGGTATTTTGGTCTCTCTAAATCACCTAATTGTCATGTGATATGTTAGGCCTAACAGGGTTAGCTTTCAGGATGTGAGGTGATAAGAATTCATAATGGTTTCTTAAATTTCCAAACTTGAGGGGGTTATCATATCAGAGTCAAACTTGGGAAGTTCCCAAAATTAAAATAATTGAGAGGGGTTTTTTGAGACGTGCCATATTTGAGGGGGTTTTAACCGAGAGGGTTTTTTTTTTGGTTGGGGTGTGGGGGTGTGGGTGGGTGGGTGGGTGGGGGGATGATTTTTCTTCTCAAATTAAAATAGTTGAGAGGTTTTTTGAGGCAAGTGCCCCTTGGTTTGGAGGGGTTTGTAAAATTAACCTATGATTTTATGTAAACTAATTTTTATGCATGTGTATTGCACGTGGTTAAATATCATAATTGTTTATTTTTAGTTTATTTCCTTACTAAAATTTATTCTTTGATTTCAATTTGATAGTTTTTACTCACTTATGTCTCTAAATTTTAATATTGTGATTATTTATCTTCTTTAATGTCTATTTGAATGGGCTATACCTAAATTTTGTTTACCCTATGAATATTACTAACATCACAGAATAATGTTTATAAAATATAATCAATTAATGCTAAGCTATTATATTATTGTTTTTTATCAATTTTAAGTTATTAGCTTTTTTATCAATTAATGCTACCTCTGTATTTTTTATATTCCAACTTATGAGTAAATTATATACAATTATTTTTACTTAGACAATGATATTAAATTTTAATCTATCAATATATTTTTCAAATTTCATGATTTTTTTTTTTGTAATTTTGAACTTTTGAGGATCTTTCTACAATTTTTAAAATTGAGGGTGTTAATTGCAAATTTTAGGGGGCTACTACTAATTTCTAGATTTTATGTTCGTTATTTTAAGTTTTGAAAAGTCAATATGTTTTGTGTAATTTTGAACTATTGAGGGTGTTTTGTACAATTTTTTAAACTTTTTAGTTTTTTGACAGTAATTCATGTATTATAGCATATTAGCTACTTATTATTTATTTACCTTTTTATTATCATTTAAACTCATTGGTGTTTACATGGTATTATCTTTCTCTATTATACCTAATGCTTAATTGATGCGACAGGGTGTTTTATGGTGGAGAAAGGGGAATCTATGTTCAAGTTTGATGGCATCCCTAGAATTTATCTATGTTGTTCACAAGTTTTGAGGGTGTTTTTTTATAATTTAAAATTTGAGGTTATTTCTATAATTTTAAACTATTGAGGGTGCTAATTATAAATTTTAAATTCTTCGGAGGATATAGTTAATTTCCAAATTTCATGTTTATTTTATTTTAAGTTTTGATATGTGATAGTGTTTGTAATTTTAAATATTTGAGAGTATTTTGTGCATTTTTTAGAACTTTTTAAGTTTTTTATTATTGTTGTAATATTTCATGTAACTTTATCTTATTTTTTAAAATTATTGAGCTATAGGTAATTCACGCGGGATTAAGATAAGATATAAATATGATTATGATAGATTAAGATTTAAATAAAATATCTAAAAAATAAATGGTAATATTGACCAAGAAATTTATTGTTGGATTTAATCTAATAAATCTATTTGTGGGCACATATGATTAATAAATGTGTATTGCTATCTTTTAGGATAACCCACTAAAGTGATCAATCAAGTTGGGTTAATGGGTATTTAAATAAGTCATGAGGTTATATGTGCAGATACCAGGTTATAATTGTGATTTGTTGAGGGGCCAAATTACAAAAATACAACATCTATAAATAAGGGGTTATGGTCCCTAACCTAGGGTTACATTTTCTAATTCTCTTCACCCCCATCTAGAAAGAGAAATTTGGATTTAGAGGAACCCTAAGGTTAGAAGATCATCAAAAAATCCAAATCAAGATTTCTTCTATGGATTCAGGTATAAGCTTCCGTCCTTTTAGATTCTTATTAATCTCTTCGAATTAATCATGGCTATATGGTTTTAGATCTCAAGTTTTATGATTCAGATCTAACAAGTGGTATCAGAACCACCTTAATTAATTCTTAGGGATTTAAGTTTTATTGGGTTTTCTGATCTTAAATCTCTGGTTAAAGATTCAGTTTTGTTTTTTCGGATGAAAAATAAATTTTTTGTTCGGATGAACAATAATAAAAAAATTTCGGATGAACAGTAAAGTTTTTTTGTTCGGACGAACAGTAACAAAAAATTTTCGGATGAACAGTAAAGTTTTTTGTCCGGGTAAGCAGCAGCGAAAATTTTTCGGATGAACAGTAACTGAAAAATCACCGGTGAACAGTAATTTTTTTGGGTTTTTCGGCGGTTTTTCCTTGGATCTGGATCAAGAAAACTCATTTTTTCGATTCTAGATCTGTTTTTTGATTTAATGGTGGCGGTTTCAGTTTGAAACCCTAAGGGTTCGTGCGTGAAACGTGGCGAACATTAATGAGGTGGTTACCTCAAATTTTGGCGAAGCGGTAAGCTTCAAACGAACCTCGCGTTCATTCAATTTTAAACGAACTTCGCGTTCGTTCTAATGTGAGCCTCGCGCTCAGTTCTAAGGCGAACCTCGCGTTCGTGCTTCAGTCGAACCTCACGTTCGAGCTTCAGTCGAACCTCGCGTTCGTGCTTCAGACGAACCTCGCGTTCGTTCTTCAGTCGAACCTCGCGTTCGTACTTTAGTCGAACCTCGCGTTCATTTTTTTTAATGAACCTCGCGTTCATTTTTCAAACGAACCTCGCGTTCGTTCTCAGACGAACCTCGCGTTCGTGCTTAAGTGAGTCTCGTACTCAATACAGTCGAACCTCGCGTTCGAAGTTAAGCAAACTTCGTGTTCACTATGGTTAAGCCTCAGCTTTTCATGGGTCCACTTTGGTATATTTAATTTATTCAATTAAGTTATGGGCCCTAGTTAAGCTGTGACACCCCAATTAAGTTTTTTGGAAATTCAGTTGATTTAAATTAAAATTTTTTAATTTAAATCTAATTTGGTTTTTTAATCAATTATTTAATTCAAATAATATGACACTAAGGAATTAAGGTTGTCTCTCACTCCAATTGATTAATTAAAACAAGAAGTTACCAAAGTAACATCTCTTGTGTAGATTATTCATGAGGAATGTGAGATGTTTATGTGTATGCTTTCGTGTAAATATTTAATCGGCCCAAAGGAAGGTTAATATTTATTTAGAC